AAAAAAAAAAAAAAAAAAAAAAAAAGAGAACTGGAGCAATGGTACTTAACGACGTATTGAGAGCAAAGTAAAGAACAACGAACTTGAGGATGATGCTACGACATCGCCTCTAAGGTGGTCTTACATGTTTATTGCTTCATCTTTAGTGCTAATAATACTAGTTGACAGAGCTGAGTGTCTATTTGATGCTGAAACGGAAATGATCTCTTCAGCGAAAAAGAAAAAAAAAGTGGAGGTCTGGAAACGAAATAAATAATTAATAAATAGGAATTTCCTAGTTTTAAAATACACTTTTATGCTATGACCTATAACTCCTAGTTACTCAGTGGATTTAAAGAGAATGCTTAGAATAGAACGGGGAAGTGGAAGTTACTGTAAACAAGTTTTACAATGAGCAACCCGTTGTAATTTACAGCAGTCACCCAAAATACTGGATAAATTGAAAAAACAAGAAACCGCAACTGGAACTATGAAATAACTGCTGGGAATACCAAAAGTTTCTCAGTGGGCCATGTTTACTGTTTACCAGTTATTTAAAATACCAATCCTATTCCACTTCCGGCTTTTCGAAACACAGTTTCTCTTGGTTTCAATTTATGGGTTTCTCTCAGCCAGTTCAAAACATTGAGCAATGTTCATGTCCCCCGTGTTTGTTTGCAACAACAAATGCCCCTAAAACAGCGGTCAGAGAAAAACAAAACCAAAGAAACGCAACGATGCCCTTTATTTAAGGAAATTGGTCTGTCACATGGCAGAAAACCTTCACAGTGTTTTAGCCTTTGAACAGTTATGCGTTTATACGAAGTAGCCACCATTTACAAGAAAACAAAAAAAGAAGATAACACAGTCTCCTTGCACGTAAAAAACTTTGCTCATTGTCACCTGTTAACTAGAATTAACTTCAATTTCTTTCGGGAGCCTGCAGGAAGTGTCATCTAAAAACAAACTCCTTCTGCAAAACCCATTCTTTCTGCAAAAACTTGCTTCTTCCTACACTTTTGTTAAATTCCCACTCCCTCCTTAGCACAATCGTTTCTGAATCTAAAGCACACAGCAAATAAATAAATGAAAGAAATTCCACCAGTTTTGTTTGAAAAAAATTTTTTTCGCTTATTCTCATTAGTTTTTCCACTCGAATCTTACAGCAACCACCGTTCGCGTCACCATACATTTTGTTAAAACAAGTGGCTAAAAGACAAAAGAAAAAAATGTAGAACAAAAACTCTTTGATACGTTTCAAACAAGAAGTTTTTTTTTTTCGAGCAAATGTTCCAAAACATGCAGATCAAAATTTTGCCACTATCCTCCAGGAAGCAAACACTTTACCAAAAAATAACCTGTTTTTTAACCAACACATACGAAAAAAAACAAAAAGAGAAGACGCGAAACGTACAAAAAACAAATTTCATCTTTTTCTTTCAGTCACTCTGTACCCATTTTCTAAAAATTTTGTTGCTGTCTAAGAAAATACAGATACTTGTTGACTTTTTTGTTTTAATCTTCATGCGGGCCACTTGTTTTCTTTGTCGCCTCTTACTTGTTTCGCTCTTTTCCACTGC